CCAAGAGCCTGGCTCAATGCAGCACAAGACCTGTTATAGAACTCACGGCGTAGATGTTCGAATGGTAAGTTCAGATTGGGCACTGCCGCAATCTTCTGCCACTCCGTGAGCCAGTCCCGTGTTGCTGTGTTGCCCTGTGACATGGTGAACAGACGGTTGATGGCGAGTGCCGGCGCGTCGTCGACGATGAACCGCTTCTTCCATAGTCGTGTCAGTTCCTCCCATGTGATCTTGTCCTTCAAGTCAAGTACGTCGACGCCGCGGGAGGTTGCCAGGTGGGTCAACCAGGTCTGGCATCCGCCCTTTGAGTTCATGAACAGGGCGCCGATGTACGCATGCTTGGCGACGGGCAGGATCCTGAGTTGCGTTGTGAATGCTTCCCACCAGAGGACCGGATCCTGCTGCGCGTAGTCGTCGAACTTGTCCAGTTGGAAAGTTCGCATCTTGTACAACTTCGGATTGCCATCCGCGTTCGTCGACTGCAGCTGCTGGACCTCGGTCTTCAAGGTATGCAGCTGACTGCTGATGGTGGTGGTCGGCGCAGTGAAGGTGCTGATGTCGCCGAGCATTGCCACTACGTGGTCAATGCGGTCCTCCAGTTGGCGGCTAGAGGGTGCACTGCTGGAAGCCCCAGCATCTGGTCCTGGTACTGCCTGTTCCAAGTCCAGTACACGGGCGTCCAGTGCCCCTGTGGCATCCTCGTGCTGAGTCTTATGGTTCCGCACGGCCCGCTGAAGGTTCGCCAGCTCGGACTGTAGGTGGTTACAAGTATAAACCAACCTGGTCACGAGCTTGGCCATGAACTCCTTATGCTGTTCTTCCGGTGTTGCCTCGTCGCCGTTTGGTTCAAAGTGCCAGTACTTGAGTCTCTCGATGCTRTTGGCTTCATGCCGCAGCAGCAGATCCTGGGCTTCCTTGCGGCGAGCCTGGGCATCCGCGTCTGCTTCGGCCTGTAGCCGCAGCTTCTCTGCTGTTGCCGCTTCTTCAGCCTGTAGCTGGGCAGCCTTGACTGCCAGCTGGCGTTGTTCCTCAGCCTCGATTGCAACGAGCTGAGCTTGGAAGCGCTTTTTGTAGTCGGCAATGGACTCATTGGCCAGTTGGCCTGGCAGGCCCGTCATGTTGCTGACGTGGCACTGCTGCTTACGTGGCACTTGCTGATGTGGCACTGCTGACGTGGCACTGTGTCTGACGTGGTACTGCTGACGTGGCACTGCTGACGTGGCACGGTGTCTGACGTCACTGCTGACGTGGCACTGCTGTCGTGGCACTATGTCTGACATGGCACTGTGACCTGGCACTGCTGACGTGGCACTGCTGATCTGGCACTGTGACGTGGCACTGCTGACGTGGCACTGTGACTTGGCACTGTGACGTGGCACTGCTGATCTGGCACTGTGACGTGGCACTGTACCGAACCGGGATGCATGCAACGGGTGGGTGGGAGGGAAAACGGAGGTAGGTAACCAACCCAACAATACTTTCCTCCGGCCCTAATCAAGAGATAAATAAAATAAAAAAATAAAACAGGACTACTTCCTTT